GCTGAGTGGGTAACGGTGGTGGTTAATGCCTCCCTTCGGGAAGGCACGATTCCAGCGAGCCTAAAACAGGCTATTATAAAGCCGCTGTTGAAGAAACCATCACTGGACCCCACCAAATTTGACAACTTTCGGCCTGTTTCCAATCTTCCCTTCTTGGGCAAAGTCATGGAAAGCGTGGTGGCCTCACAACTCCAGGTATTCTTGAGAGACACGGATATCTGGATCCGGCACAGTCTGGTTTCAGACCGGGACATGGTACCGAGACGGTCTTGGTCGCCTTCGTGGATGATCTGCGCCGGGAGCTAGACAGGGGGAGTGTGTCCCTGTTGGTGCTCCTGGACCTCTCAGCGGCCTTCGATACCGTCGACCACGGTATTCTTCTGGGACGCCTTGCAGAGATGGGCCTTGGGGGCACCGCTTTGCGGTGGCTCCAGTCATTTCTGGAGGGTCGTACCCAGAAGGTGTTGTTGGGGGACTCCTGCTCAACACCACGGCCGTTGACATGTGGTGTTCCTCAGGGCTCCATACTGTCCCCCATGCTGTTTAACATCTACATGAAGCCGCTGGGTGAGATCATCCGGAGTTTCGGGGTGCGGTGTCACCTGTACGCAGATGACGTCCAACTCTGTCACTCCTTCCCACCTGCTACTAAGGAGGCTGTCGAAGTCCTGAACCGGTGCCTGGCCGCTGTGACGGTCTGGATGAGGGCAAACAAACTGAAATTAAATCCAGACAAGACAGAGGTACTCCTGGTCAGTCGCAAGGCCGAGCAGGGTATAGGGTTACAGCCTGTGCTGGACGGGGTCGCACTCCCCTTGAAGGCGCAGGTTCGCAGCTTGGGGGTGACCCTGGACTCATCGCTGAGCCTGGATCCCCAGGTTTCGGCGGTGACCAGGGGAGCGTTTGCACAGCTTCGGCTCGTGCGCCAGCTGCGCCCGTATCTTGGGAAGTCTGACTTGGCCACGGTGGTACACGCTTTGGTCACATCCCGCCTCGACTACTGCAACGCTCTCTACGTGGGGCTGCCCTTGAAGACGGCCCGGAAGCTCCAGCTAGTCCAGCGCGCGGCAGCCATGTTGTTAACCGGAGCGGGACGCAGGGAGCGCACAACGCCCTTGCTGTCCCAGCTCCACTGGCTGCCGATTTGCTACCGGGCCCAATTTAAGGTGCTGGTGTTAGCCTACAAAGCCCTAAACGGTTCCGGCCCAAAATACCTTGAGAACCGCATCTTGGCCTACGAGCCCACGAGGACCTTGAGATCTTCTGGGGAGGCCCTCCTCTCGGTCCCGCCTGCCTCTCAGGCACGCCTGGCGGGGACGAGAGAGCGGGCCTTCTCGGTGGTGGCCCCCCGGCTATGGAACTCCCTCCCTGCTGAAATAAGACAGGCGCCTTCCCTCATGGCCTTCCGCAAGGGCCTGAAAACCTGGCTCTTCGAAAAGGCCTTCAATTAAGTGCTATGTTTTTGGAATGACCACCGGAATGGACCATGACTATGAGACTGGTTATGACCCCAAACAAGACGAAGCGGATTTTTAGTTTAATTAGTTGTGTACTCGTGCGATGTTGTGTTATGGTCTCGATTTATTGTAAACTGTTTCTTCTCTATGTTCTATGTTTTGTACACCGCCACGAGTCGCCCCTGGGCTGAGAGTGGCGGTTAACAAGTGCAAATAATAAATAAATAAATAAATAAATAAATGGACCAAACTTGGCACGTATACTCAATATGCCCAAATGTAAACACTGGTGGGGTTTGGGGAAAATAGACCATGACATTTTGGAGTTGTACTTGCTGGGATATATAGTTCACCTACAATCAAAGAACATTCTGAACCTCACCAATGATAGAATGAACCAAACTTGGCACACAGTTCTCCCATGACCAACAGAAAATACTGGAAGGGTTTGGTGGGCAGTGTCCTTTGGTTTTGGAGTTGTAGTTCACCTACATCCAGAGATCACTGTGGACTCAAACAATGATGGATCTGGACCAAACTCTACACTAATACTCAATATGCCCAAATGTGAACACTGGTGGAGTTTGGGGAAAATAGAATCTTGACATTTGGGAGTTGTAGTTGCTGGGATTTATAGTTCACCTACAATCACAGAGCATTCTGAACCCCACCAATGATGGAATTGAACCAAACTTGGCACACAGTTCTCCCATGACCAACAGAAAATACTGGTGGGCAGTGTCCTTTGGTTTTGGAGTTGTAGTTCACCTACATCCAGAGATCACTGTGGACTCAAACAATGATGGATCTGGACCAAACTCTACATGAATACTCAATATGCCCAAATTTGAACACTGGAGGAGTTTGGGGAAAATAGAATCTTGACATTTGGGAGTTGTACTTGCTGGGATTTATAGTACACCTACAAACAAAGAGCATTCTAAACCCCACCAATGATGGAATTGAACCAAACTTGGCATACAGTTCTCCCATAACCAAGAGAAAATACTGGAAGGGTTTGGTGGGCAGTGTCCTTTGGTTTTGGAGTTGTAGTTCACCTACATCCAGAGATCACTGTGGACTCAAACAATGATGGATCTGGACCAAACTCTACACGAATACTCAATATATCCAAATGTGAACACCGGTGGAGTTTGGGGAAAACAGACCTTGAGATTTGGAAGTTGTCGTTGCTAGGATTTATAGTTCACTTACAATCAAAGAGCATTCTGTACCTCACCAATGATAAAATTGGGTGAAACTTCCCACACAGAACCCCTTGACCAACAGAAAATATTGTGTTTTCTGATGGCCTTTGGCGACCCCTTAGTATGTGTGTGTATATATATATATATACGTATAATATATATATTAATAATTAGATCACTGCAAAATGCAGTCAAGGTTGAGTGAAGCAGCAATCGAACACTCAAGTGGCACAATGTGTGTCTCTCGCTTTGACCTCACCCTCGCTGTCGTTCTGAACTTTTCCAAAATTTGGAGAAAGGAAGGTGTAATAATCCTGCCCCACTGCTAAGTTTTCCATTTTGTACAAAGGATTTCTACGAGTCACCAGTCTCCGTCCATAAAATTACAGGTAGAAGCTCTTGCTGTGGCTCTTTCTGTAGGTGTGTGTATGTTGATAATAGTGGAGGGGCCACTTGTGCTTGGCCGATGGTCCTTCCCTCTCGCTCCTTGCCCTAGTTGTGGCTAACCAACAGAATGTCGGTTAATAATATATCGCTACTATGGAATTTCCTCCCTTCTTCCTGTCCATCCTCTGCCCAGTTACTGGGATGACATCAGCTAAGCTCAGAAGAAAGTTTGAGGGGTGGTAGCAACATTAACTTCTTTCTGTCTGATGTTCTTGACGGGGCTGGGAGGCAGAGACGCCATGGCGGCAGGAAGAAGGAGAGTGGCCTGAGCAGCGCGGGAGGCCCTTCTGGAGGTGGCGCAGGAAGCAGCCCAGAGGCCCGGGGACAACTGCACACCTGCCGTAGAGGACAGAAAATGCGGAGTCACCTTAAACTGCGAGTATATCCCCAACTCTATTTTGTGTGCTAAAGTTGGGGGATCTATTATAGCCCCAGTCGTGTAATACCACGGAATATACGGTATTTATATTACATTATATATTATTTTTTTAAAATATATTATTTGAAAAAACATTATTTGAAAAAATAAATTCTATTTAAAAAATGGAAGAAAGATTTATTAAAGTTTATCTGGAAAGGGAAAAGACCGAGGATAAATGACATAAATCTAATTGACATAGAACAAAAATGTATGTATGTATATCTTATAAGGCTCTCTAAATCAAGATTTTATGCTCTCTATTGGAATAACTTGTCTGAGACTTTATAACATTTAACAAGAATGTTGTCGGCACATTATAAATAAATGTAGATTATCATGTCAACATAGAAAAATAAACAACAGACTAAAGATAACAAAGTCCTCTCTAATCTGTCAAGATCGTTTTGAATTCTGCTCCTGTCCTCTGGAGTGTTGGGTCTCCCTCCAATTTGGTGTCGTCTGCAAACTTGATGTTGGAAGTGTAGTGAACAAACAGGTACATTCTACCATATGTGGTGGACATGCAAAGAAACGTCTAAGTATTGGTCATTAATACATGAGGAAACACAAAAAATACTGAAAAGGAAGTTTAAGAAGAAGCCTGAGTATTACTTATTAGGCTTCACAGACCTAGACTTACAACTGGAAGAAAATGAAGATAAATTACTAACATACATTACAACAACAGCGAGGATTACTTTTGCCAGATATTGGAAAAAGGAACAGATTCCTATTATTGAGGAATGGATGTTGTTGTTCATTCGTTCAGTCGTCTCCGACTCTTCGTGACCTCATGGACCAGCCCACGCCAGAGCTCCCTGTCGGCCGTTACCACCCCCAGCTCCCTCAAGGTCAGTCCAGTCACTTCAAGGATGCCATCCATCCATCTTGCCCTTGGTCGGCCCCTCTTCCTTTTGCCTTCCACTTTCCCCAGCATAATTGTCTTCTCTAGGCTTTCCTGTCTCCTCATGATGTGGCCAAAGTACTTCAACTTTGTCTCTAGTATCTTTCCCGAGGAATGGATAGATAAGGTTAAAGAAATAAGAGACATGGACGAATTAACTTTTGATGAGGAAAAATACCGGAAAATCGGTAAAGAGGACGGACTTTTATGAGTATGAAAAAAATAGAAGAACAATAGAGGCTAAGAATATATAAGTTTGACTAAGAAGTATTCAGAGAAGATCCTGAGGCTGGAATAGAAGTCATTTTAGAATAGGGCTTTTTTTTTTTTCTTCTCCTTTGGATTTTTCCTATTTTTGACTTTTTTGGTGGTCTTTTTTTCCCCCCCTTTCTCCATTTTTTTTCTTTTTCTTTTTGAGGGTGACCGGGTGACCGACTTTTCTATCTTCTTTACTATTGTTCCCCCTCTTTCCATGTGTTGTTGTTTAAAATGTTTAATAAAAAATATATATATATAAAAAAAGGAAAAAAATAAAAAATAAATTCTTTTTGCAAGAATCCTACCTGAGGTCTCATGCGTGGATTCCATCGCACATAATAGTTTACCCACAATTCCAAGTGGCTTAGGCTGGCAACAGGGTACAGGACGTGGTGTTCGTAATTCACGTAGAAAGGGTTGCTGAATTCATCGAGCTGGCTATTGACGTAGGACCACAGGGAGACCGTCCTTGTGCTTATTTCCTGGAAGGAAAGAACAATTGGTCAAACACGCTTGCTTGGAATACACACACACACACACAAAAGCTTGTGGCACTTCTCGAGTTTTCCACACATCAGAAGCCATTTCTGGCATCAATCATCTCCTTAATATGGAGTAGCTCAATCTATAAAAGTAATAGTATCTATAGAATCATAGAATCGTAGAGTTGGAAGAGACCTGGTGGGCCATCCAGTCCAACCCCATTCTGCCAAGAAGCAGGAAATGCCTTCAAAGCACCCCCAGACAGATAGCCATCCAGCTCTGCTTAAACTGGGGGGGAGGGGGGGGGAGGAAGGAAGGAAACGAGAAAAGAAGCAGAAGGAGAGAGGAGAAAAAAGACAAGAAGAGGAGGAGGAGAGGAAGAGAAGAGAGAAGAAGAAGAAGAGGAGGAAGGAGGAGGAACAAGAACAAAGAAGACAAGAGGAGGAGGAGAAGAAGCAGAAGAAGAAGAGAAGAAAAGAGAGAGGAGGAGGAGAAGGAGGAACAAGAAGACAAAGAAGACAAGAGGAGAGGGGGAGGAGGAGAAGAAGCAGAAGCAGAAGAAGAAGAAGAGGAGGAGGAGGAGGAACAAGAAGACAAAGAAGACAAGAGGAGGAGGAGCAGAAGCAGGAGAAGAAGAAGAGGAGGAGGAGGAGAAGGAACAAGAAGACAAAGAAGACAAGAGGAAGAGGAGGAGGAACAAGAAGACAAAGAAGACAAGAGGAGGAGGAGAAGAAGCAGAAGCAGAAGGCAGGAGAAGAAGAAGAGGAGGAGAAGGAACAAGAAGACAAAGAAGACAGAGGGGGGGAAGGAGGAGGAGAAGCAGAAGCAGAAGCAGAAGAAGAAGAGGAGGAGGAACAACAAGAAGACAAAGAAGACAAGAGGAGGAGGAGGAGGAGGAGAAGCAGAAGCAGGAGTAGAAGAAGAGGAGGAGGAACAAGAAGACAAAGAAGACAAGAGGAGGAGAAGAAGCAGAAGCAGAAGCAGGAGAAGAGAGGAGGAGGAGAAGGAACAAGAAGAAAGAAGACAAGAGGAGGAGGAGGAGAAGAAGCAGAAGAAGAGGAGGAGGAGGTAGAAGAAGAGGAGGAGGAAGCGGAGGAGGAGGAGGAGGAGGAGGAGGAGGAGGAGGAGGAGGAGGAGGAGGAGGAGGAGGAAAGAAGAAGAGTGGATGGGCATTTGCCACCGAGAAGGAAGAAAAGAAGGAGGGCCTCTTGTCTCTCATTCCCACAACCGGGCTTGAGATGGAGGTGGGACCGAGAGAAGGAAGGGCTTCTCCTGGGCTTCGAAGGTCATCAGCAACCCTTTGGATTGTGCCTGGAAACAGACTGGCCGACCGTAGAGTTGTCCACTCTCTGCAGCCAGCCCCAGCCAGCAACATGGCTGCCTCTCTTTGCACCAGTCTCCACACTTGCGTGTTACAGTCATCCAGGTGGGATGTCACAAAGGCATGGACCACCCTGGCCAGATCTGGCTTCTCAAGGAACAACAGGCGCAGTTTGGGGGTCCTCCTGAACTTGGCACTGAACCTGGAGGCCCAGGTGTTGGCGGTGGCTGGGAGGGCATTCTTTGCACAACCAAAACTTGTGCTCCAACTGCGCCTGTTGTTCCTTGAGAAGTCAGATCTGGCCAGGGTGGTCCACAGAGCCCTTGGGTTTTCTTTTTGGAATGGAAGTGTATCCGTTATTTGCAATTGGGATGTTTACATTCCAGAAAGGACACCTGTTCGAGCCCCTGGCTTTAATATACAAAGCAGTGCGCTCAGTTTCTGTATTATGGTTTCCTGATCATAGAATCCTAGAGTTAGAAGAGACCTCATGGCCATCCAGTCCAACCCCATTCTGCCAAAAAGCAGGAAAATTGCATTCAAAGCACCCCCAACAGATGGCCATCCAGCCTCTGTTTCAAAGCCTCCAAAGAAGGAGCCGCCACCATACTCCGGGGCAGAGAGTTCCACTGCTGAACGGCTCTCACAGTCAGGAAGTTCTTCCTCATGTTCAGATGGAATCTCCTCTCTTGTAGTTTGAAGCCATTGTTCCATTGCGTCCTAGTCTCCAAGGAAGCAGAAAACAAGCTTGCTTCCTCCTCCCTAGGACTTCCTCTCACATCTATATAAATAAAAATGTAATGTTCATTTGTGCTATTCACAGAACTCAAAAACCACTGGGGCAATTGGCACCAAATTTGGACATTATACACCTAACAACTCAATGTATGTCCTTCACTCAAAAAAATTGATTTTGTTGTTTGGGAGTTGTAGTTGCTGGGATTTATACTTCACCTACAATCAAAGAGCATTCTGAACTCCACCAATGATGCAATTGAACCAAACTTGGCACACAGAACTCNTAATAATAATAATAATAATAATAATAATAATAATAATAATAATAATTCCAAACCACATTGTGACTTGTTGAGACATTCACAAAACAAGTCTCTGCTGACAAAGCCACCTTTGGACCATTCACTCCCTCAGATGCAACGACAAGTGCAGCTTCATCCATAATGCCTCTCCCCCCTGCTAACCTCTTTGACCTTTGTCCACTTTTTAGAAATAAGGCCCCCCTCCATTTATACTCGATTAAGGGTGGTGGCAGGAAGGCTTGGGGCTGAAAGTGTCATGAATAAATATATTTACTTTGAATAAATAGTACGAAAGGTGTATGGATGGGCCTAATTTGGGTGAAGACACCATTCTAAAAGATTAATGGTCCAGCGTGCGGCAGCCAGGTTGCTAACGGGAGTGCCTACTCAGGGAGCACACAACTCTGCTGTTGCGCCAGCTCTACTGGCTACCAGTTTTCTACTGGGCACAATTCAAAGTGCTGGCTTTGGCCTATAAAGCCCTAAACGGTTCCGACCCAGCTTATCTATCCGAAGGCATCTCTCCCTATGAACCCACCAGGGATTTGAGATTGTCAGAGGAGGCCCTGCTCTCGATCCCACCTGCTTCGCAAGCACGTTTGGCGGGGACGAGAGACAGGGCCTTCTTTGTGGTGGCCCTCCGGTTGTGGAACTCCCTGCCTAGGGATATTAGATTGGGTCCCTCCCTCCTGACCTTTCGAAAAAAACTGAAAACTTGGCTCCTTGAGCAAGCTTTTGGCACAGCGTCATAATCAGACAAATTTGAATCGGAAAATGATCCAGGAACGGCTAAGGATGATGGAACAGGCGAAGATCAAACATGATGACATAGTTTTAAATTTTTTATTGTTCACTGATTTTATGCTTTTAGATATATTGTGATGTTTTTCTTTGTTTTATTGAAGTATGTATTTTTATATGGCATCAAATTGTGCCGACTTGTTTGCCGCCCTGAGTCGCCTCTGGGCTGATATGGGCGGATTAGAAATGGAGTAAATAATAATAAGTAATAATTAAGGTCTGCAATGACAAAATCATTAACTACACTCAGGAGCTGTAATTAAAAGTTGCTGAACTGCTGACACTGATAAGAACTGTGACAAACGATTAACTGTTGACATTGCTGATTTGATGAACTTTGAGAGAAAATAACTTGTTTACGTTAATTAGAGACAATGGCTCTTTAAAGTTAAGGAAATGTTTACAAGATTCCTTATATTACAAAGGAAGCAAAGGAAGCTGCCTCCTCTCAAGAAGCTGATCAAGTTCAACAAGAACCGTTTTAATGTTTTTTTAAAAGTACTTACAACATTTTTGGGGCTATGAGCAGGATTCCAGATAGGATTTTGTTTCCTGAAAGCGAGACAGAATGTGTTAAGAGTAACATGGAGAAATAAGGTTGACACCTGGTAGGAAAATCAGTAAAAGCAAACAGGTTCGGACTAAATTTTAAAGTACCAAGAGTGTGGGAGCATCCCCGTTCTCTAAAAAAGTATGCCTTGGTGTATTGAGAAAAGAAAATCCCTGAATGAAGGGGGAAAGGATCCTTCATATGGGAGTCCATTTTTAATAAAGTCAGGAAAGGTTAAGGATTTCAAGGAAAGCTTAGGGAAATCCCCATTCCACGACCAGCTCAGTACAATATGCCCCTTGATGCACTTTATCCCATCTGTAGAGAAGTGTTTATTATAAAGGGTTTAATGTACTGTGTTTAAACTGTATTTATGTTTTACATGCGTGGCCATGGCCTAGCTGTGAGAGATAGGTTGCCATGGTGACAAGGCAGAAGAGAAGGTGGGCGGAGCTTAAGGAGATAAAGCTTTGAAAGTAACAGTTAAGAGTCAGTCAGGAGGATGAGACCCTGAGAAGAGGGGGGAGTCAGTTAGGGCTCTGTGTGGTGAAGCAGTATAAATTCAGTTAGTTCTTAGCATTTGTGAAAATTTCTTCAGCAAGGGAGCTGAAGGTGAAACCTTGTTAGATTGCTTGTGTTAAAAAGAATCTAACAAAGGGGGTTTTAGGGATCCCAGTAGTGAAAGACTGGAGATCGGTGGTTTGATCCGGTATAGGACAAACAGAGTGAATATTCACAACAGGGAACACTGAAATAATAAAGTACTTCACTGAAGAAGGAGTTTAAAGGATTGTAACATTAGAAGCCTGAATGTATCTCTACCAAGCCATATTGTAACCATCAACTTTGTGCCAAGTTCAACATCTTAGTGTTGCAACAATTACGCTCTGTTAACAATAAACTTGTTCTCTCTGTGTTATAAATCTGCCTCCTCCATTGATTTTACATTTGGTGCAATCCACTCTACCAAAGTTTCCTCACAACGCAGATAGGGATGAACAGAGACTTCAATTCCAACATCTCTTTATATATATAATGGTGGCAGTGTAATCAAGCAGTATTGGGACTTCCTTATAATTTATGCTGAAATTAGGTGGATCAACATACATATTTACTTAATTTTGGTAATCCCATTTAGGTGGGATTACGCTTCCTTACACCATCCTTTAGTGAAACTCACCGCATTGCTTGTCCCATCTGAGATCTCCCATCAGGCACACTGCCCTACTCATCCAGCTCACTTAGGGTTTTTATACTTTACAATTTTAACAGGCCCTGTCTGTTAAA